GGGTGGATGACTGGATATATAAAGCGCTTTGGGGTCCTTAGGGACTAGTAAAGCGCTATATAAATACAGGCCATTTACCATTTATCCTAACTAGTAGTGCAATATCTTTTCACAAAAGTAAAATGAGTTATTATTACTAAAAGACTTTAAGTTTTTTTTTATTATTATTACCCTTACCTGGACATTAGCTATGCATGCTATGTAATTCTCTTTACTGGATGGTTGATTCAGCTGCAGCTGAATACGTTGTCAGAATGATCATTAATCACTGACGTAACTTACCATCCTTCTGTTGTAAATTCAACGGGGATGATGGAGTTGTTATTGTTGAAACTGCTGTTGTTGATACTTGTGGGTTTTTTGTTGTTGCTTCTGTGGTAGTTGTTGTTGCAGAAGGTGTCGCCATCGTCTTATTTGTTGTTGCAGAAGGTGTCGCCGTCGTCTTATTTGTTGTTGCTTCTGCGGTTGTTGTTGCAGAAGGTGTCGCCGTCGTCTTATTTGTTGTTGCAGAAGGTGTCGCTGTCGTCTTATTTGTTGTTGCTTCTGCGGTTGTTGTTGCAGAAGGTGTCGCTGTCGTCTTATTTGTTGTTGCTTCTGTGGTTGGTGTTGTAGTAGTACAGGCTGTTGGTGTTGTCGTTTTTGCTGCTGATGTTGGTGGTGGATTGAGTAAACATAAAGGTGGTTTAATAAATGTAATCACAGGGATTTTAAAGGTACAGAAAACTTAAGTATTTAGAGTTTGTCATACATTAATTATGTTAGTGGTCATAAAAATACATTTTGGGGGAAATTTCAGACAGTTTCCAAATTAATTATTAAAATTCTAAATCACTGGGCGATATAACAGGTTGGTGTGAGAACTTCAGAAACTGCCTGAGATTTTCCTGTGTACCCGTCTGTAGGGACCACACAGAGGACCTTTCTGTGAAGGGCTGCACACTGACCAGTACATTTAAAACATGACACTGTTTTACAAATGACTATTTGTAAATTTTCTATTACAAAATGTTTATTTAGCTGCTTTACAACAGTTTGGTGTTCTCTAGCTCAAAACACAGAAAAGCTTACTTGCAAAATACTGAAATGTTTCAAAATGTTAATCTTAACAGATAAAGCTTAGGAAATATGATCAAATATGTATTTCGTCCATGTGTGAAACTCAAAGTTTCTTTAAAGTCAGAATATTTACATAAAACAAAAAAAACCAAAAAAACAAAGAAACTTAGAGGTTTCTTTAAACATTTTTCTTGAATATACCTCTGTTAGCGTGAATTGTTATATGTTGTCATTTTTATGCTTGCCAACTCTGATGAAAGAATTCCACTGTCCCCCCCACCCCCCACCCACACACACACACACACACTGCCTTGTCTTAGAACCACATGGGCGTTGCTTTGCTGTGATGCGTTTTGTGTGAACTGTTTCTCAATAAAAAGCAGCGAGAGGAGGCCAGATTTGGGGCACCTAATCAGAAAGTGCAAGTGAAACGATTGATCGCTTTAGCCTTGTTTATTTTTTTTTTCCCCACAGGAATAAGTCCTGGATACAGCGGGGTCTGAGTTTAGACCCAACAACCTCCATTGGATGGAGTCTGACTGCTAATAATCTCATTTTTGGGCAAAGAATAGAAAGACAGCAGCAGCTGCCAAGCACTGGAAAAAATGTCTTCTTTTTTTTTTTCCCCCCAATCTGCTAAACGGCAATTTCCAAAATAGAAAAACAAATATTCATCTTTTCCAATAAAATGAAAAATATAAGTCGCACTGTATGTGTGTGCATCCTCTTTTAGAAGTGAAAAGAAATTTCTTGTTCAGTCAAACCCGGAGAACACACTTTGTTGTCGTTGTTTTTCTGCTTTTAATGGCTAATCTTGATCAAATATAAAGTTTATGGCTGTATGATGGTCAACTGGGTATTTTTAGGAATTTTTTTTTTTTAAGTAAATTTCTAGGATCTGACATCAGCTAGAAGCAAAACACACACATGCACTGTTTCAGCATTAATAAATAAAATGTGTTTCCTACCTGGGTTGGGAGAATCTCGCTTACACACTTTTTCTAAACAAAAAAGAAAAAAAGAGAAAAATATGGAGACAAGCAAGGTTGTGAATTTTAAAGTCAACACACTGTAAAACATCCCAGTCACACATTGTTTAAAACCGAAACAAAACAACAGAAAATGTGGATGTAGGTTTCAGTACCTGTACACACATCTCCACACCGGCAGACACAATAGCAGCATGGACACACATGCTTACAATGACGTAAATACAAAGCGCCGACCCGACGCATCAGGATTGTGAGATGTCAGCTTTCTCATCCGACGGCATGAACGCAGACACGCTGTCGGGGCTGAAACCCGACATGTCACAGATTCTGATGCTGCAGGTTTCATCACTCTCCAAAGTTCACTGAACCAGCAGCAAAAGAAGATCAAAACTACGCTTCACATTTGATAAACATCGTCTGTGTACTTGGAGGACAGTTTCCCATCTCAAATTTCTGTTTTCTGCATTATTTGCTTGCTTTTTAGTCTACTGTTGTGCACAGCACTGCACTGCCGTTTTGTTTGTTCAAAAATTACCTGTGACAAGAAAGTTTAAAGAAATGTAAACTTTTTAAAATTATACCAAATTGCAAATCTCTTAGCTATGTCTCTGATAACACCTCTGTAACGTTGCTCAGCAGCATCAGGTAATGTTCATATGCTGAGTTCAGTTTCAACTGCAGAATATTTTTAGGGTTATCTGCTATTTAAAGAAAAAAAAAAAAAAAAAAAAAAACAGGCCAGGAAAATCACCTTCATGTTTTTTCTGTTTCATCCTCAGTTACTACAAAGGCATCTGCTGTGATGGTTACGCCTTTGATAAAGTCTCACAAGTGTCAGTACTGATACGTGATCAGAATTATAATATTTCTGACTGTCTGAGGCAAAATTTCCCCGATTGAAATCGAATCGAAACCTTGTGAATGGGAATCGAATCAGTCATAGAAATCAGTGACCATACCCAGACCTGTGTGTGTGTACTTACCGTACACTTTACAGATGTCTTCTGCAGTGGGTTTTTGTGATCCTCCATTTGTTTTGTCTTTGGTGAAAAAGAAGAAAAACATTAGCAGTAAGAACCAGAAGTTCATTTTAGGTTTATTGTAGGAGATCCACATTTTACGGTTTGAGGAAGACCTGCTCCTTTTCTTTCTCTGAATTTCTAAAACGTCTAAGCTCATTACAACAGTCGGTGTCACAGTGTTGCTTCTCACAAAGACATTCAAGCAGCAAGTCTTTAAACTAACCACAGCTGAATGTTAGACAAGTATCAAAATGAGGCGATACCTCGCAGACCCTTGGCTATATTTGTCAAGCACATGAAGTGGTAGAAAGGGACACTGATGTTCTCATCCGTCTCGTTACATGGCGGTTTATAGTCCTGCAGGACAAACAACATGTTTATCAGATATGATCCTTGTTTAACCTGAGCAGGAAAAAACAAACAAAACTTGAAGAAGAAGAGATTTTTTTCCTTGCCATGTTATTCTTGTCCTTAAAACAGTCCCGTAGAAAGCAGGTTTCTTCTGTTATATTACAGTCTTTGGCTTCCATTAAACTACATACAATGATGTCCTGCAATGAAAGAAGGGCACATTTATCATTAACCAAATATAAGTCACTCCAAGATAAACTTAAATACATTTGGACATTTTCTAGTTTTTAAACAATGTTTCACAAAGTTACCTCAGACTTGTTCATTATTTTGACAGTAATATTCTCTGGCAGCTTGTGTAGTGTAGTTGTATTCTAAACATAGAGAAATGGTAAAGAAGCAAAATACATCAATAGTTATGTTTATTTTTAGTGAGTGATCATCACAACTGAAACTGCAAAAATCCAAAGAGAGTGAAATATATTGGCTGCTAAAACACAAATCTGCTGGGGTTGGAGGCCCCCAGAGGGCTGCTGGTTGTCTAAAAGCTGATCCCAACACCCAAATCTGATTGTTGGCTTTGTCTGTCATTTCATTGTTTTAAATAAAAATGTAATCATTCAGAATTACAAGAAAATGGAAACAAAAAAATGTCACCAAAGGCACCAGGAAGTTTTTGTATCGTATCTTTAACTAAACTTTTTTTGGGAAAGTAATGTACAAGCTATAATGACACCAAACCCTTGTTTTATATTCTCAACAGATTGCATACAAAGCTTACAATCTCTGACCTTGTGCTCACCACAAGTCCTTAAAAATGTATTTTTTCCATCACTGACAACAAGTAAAAACTTAACTTGGAGCTCAGTGTGTGTTTCACACTGAAACAGACAGACTTCCACACTTTCTTTACAGACCATTTAAATATGGGACCACTTTTAAAGTAGCTTATTAGCTCCTAAGATGTAGACAACAGCATAATGCAGTTAAGCAGAAGTAAACACTCATTACAGTCTTTGAATATTTGTTGTTTTGGGGCCTGATTTATATCATCCTCATATTACCTTTTATCTTAGCAGCCTTGTCATCCAGCATTAGAGATCAGCCTATCAAGAAATTATAATAATTAGGGAAAAGAACATTTTTTGTTACCCATTCTTTTTTTGTGAAGTAGTTCTGACAGTTTGCTTCTGATGGCTCGATCAGGATTACCTGGTAGACAAAACGTTGTTTAATTAGACTGACAGAATTACCACCATATGATGAAAATAACATGTATAACACTAGATAAACTACACTAATGCAGACCTAAATTTAAGAAGGACAGGCTACCAAAAAAAATGACAAATGAGTACTTTAGGTCTCATAGCTTTTTAATAAAACCAGAAGTTACAGTAATCCACAAAACTTTAAAACTAAAAACATTCGAGCTCCTCTTGAAACTATTAAGTTCGGATCACCAAGAGCACATTTTACAGCACTTATATAAAAGCAAATAGAGTAAAACTGCAAAGAGAACACTCACAGTTAAAAGCAACAGGCAGAGAAAACAGCCGTGTGACGTCATGATTCCCTCTGTGATCTTTGCAAACTACAGTGAAACAAAAAAAAGCAGGA